TTCACGATTTAACATCCTCTTTAGTTTGAACCCAGACCCCTAAATCCGACTTCGAGTACGTGCTAGATAACTAATGTTCTACTAAACTTGAGATAAAATAGAAAGCTTTGCCATTCATATCCTCATTTTCAAAACATTTTGGCTGGTTTCCTAAACGATTTTGTGTCAAAACGTTTTTCACGATCACCCATTTTGCTGTCCATCGGTAGTTGGGTGTAAGAGAAACAACAAGCGCGTTTACATCAAATGTTATTTTGACATACCGTGAGCTTAAGTGACTGTATGTATAAGAGGAAAAAAAAACACAAGTGTAGAAATCATAAGCATTAAATTACTTCGTAAGCTACCAACAAATTAACCATAAAATAAGAATATATCACTGTTACTAGTAAATCACGTGGTGCAACGAGAACTGTCATGGCGGCTGCAGTTGAAGGATTGTCTTACTTTGTGCTGTGCATGGCATGCTTTTACTTTTGGTATTAAACTCTGCAATTTGACCTGATTTTCAAGGGAAAGACGAGAGACACGGGCACTGTATTTGTATCAAATATGTATTCCTACGTAGGTTATTTGCCTTCAGAAAACTTGTGACAAAATGACATTCATCAAACCTTGACGTCAAATTTGAGCCACCTTACTCAGCAACTTCGAAGAAACACACGCTGGACTTGAAAGACAAAGGATATCTAGGGTTATAAGGTGAAAGTGATGTGTTTTGTGGCCTCCAGAGGAGTAGCAAGAGACTCTGAAATTTCTCGAACTTCCTTTGCTCTTTCCACGTGTAAGACTGATCACAGATATAAATATTAACATTTTAAAAATTATTTGTAATTCAAATGAGTTTTCCGACTTTGAAAGGCGAACCGAAAAACGTCGAATAGTACTTCGGTTACTGTCGCACAATATAACGAAATGGGAAGGCCAGCAAATGGTTAATTTTGAACTCCGTAAGCATCTTTGGGGAGTTGCGGATATTGGTGCAATTGTTGAAATACAAACTCGAACTCAGATATACTCGAGGAACTGTTTGAGTTTCTTTGAGTTTCCCTGTTTCCTAGCTCTTGGAAACAAACAAACAAACAAAACAACTTTTTTAACTATTTGTTGTACTATTGAAGAGGAACTTATTGTTATAGATGTGTTTGTTCATCGTATTTATGATGCAATAAATGAAATTTAAGCGATGTGGCCAAGTGATTATTTCTGTGGCATGATAGTTAGCTACTATTGGTGCGTTTTGGTGCGGATTTACCCTTCGCGAAGTTGATTTTATCCTCTTTAAATGACTTAATGATAAACATGATGAAATTATACACGCGTGATCGGCTAAAAACCAGTGCATTTTTCATGTAATACGACTGCAAAGTTCAAGCAAGAGTACAAATTACAAATGTCCTGGAAAAACATGAACCTATCTATGTTAAAGTTACTTATGGGCTATGATTTGGAACTACCTTGGAATAATTTGCCGTGTAACTGTTACTCAACATGCATAAACCAGATAAGGAAAATTGTAAAAAGACAGTAAAATACGATTGAACGATAATTGTAATAATAACATAAAAAAGAGAGAAAAATATATGTAGTAGCGAGAAAAAAAAGGAAAAAAAAGCAACAGAAAAATTACTTTTAGAAAAAATACCACAGTGGCCCAAAAACATAACTGCTCAGAAAAAAAAAACAGTAAAAAAAAGACAAGAAGATAATAAGGGAAAAAAAGGGAAAAAACAGCAAAAACAAAATTCAAATTCCACGGGGAGGAGTTACTCGGCCCCCAAGCCAGTTTGAGAGTTACTCCTTGTCCGCCAGCTCCAAATCATACTCGGGGAGAAGTTATTCGGCCCCCAAGCCAGATTAAGAATAACTCCTATAGCGTGATTCGAACCCGCGACCTCGATGACCTCACTTGCACTCGTTGCGCGCCCACGATTACCAGTCGACCATCTGGAATATGCATCATTAATTAATATAAGTTGTCGGTATGGAGAGTTTTCAAATACCGGGTTGGGGGGGAGGGTGAGGAAGTTTGTCTGACTGAGAGTGCAATGGAGCGTTTCCGGTCAAGAATAAAGGAAATGAATCATTCAAAGAACTAATAGACGCCATCTAAACGTGGAATATTAGCATATGCCGTAATGGCGGACGGCCTCGATTGCCGGGGCTCGTTAAAGACAACGATTCGGACACTTTTCAAAGAAGCAATCAAGAGTGTTCAGTGGCACAATGTTACATGCCAGGTACCACGTATTTTTACCTCTGAGGACGCATACATACATTTCTTTTACTTTATGTTCACAGTTCAGAAGACGCGGCATTTATCAAACTTCCATGCTCAGATTAATCAACAGAGACAAGTCATGTTGGCCGTTGTGCTGAGACTTACAAGGAACATTTTAAATTTCCTTTCCGTCCATTAAACATACCATTTAAAATACATTCATTTCGACACAAAAATTAGATCCTTACAAAGAGGCATAGATATGCTTTGTCAACATTGGCAACACAAAAATCGCACCGAGAGGAGGAGGAGGACATGCCCGAAATGCAACTGTCGCTTAACATGCATGAGTTAGATATGGAGAATTGTAAAAAACAAAAGAAAAATGAATCAAAAAGGCTATCACAGCTGGAATCCAACTGACTCAAGTAACCATGAACCGTGTAGACTGTAGACCCTGAGCCTGATAATATTATTCAAAACTTGGTTATCACTCTGCTATTTCTAAGTGAAATCCATTTTCCCTCGAATGTATTTCTTTTCAAACATAACCCCTGCTATTTCCAACTGTGCCAATATACATAAACTTCCTTTTACTTTAACGTAAGCTTTTACCATACGCTAAAGTCATCAGGGCGGTTTTCCTTCGTTTTCTTCCATTCTTGATCTCGCAGGGGGGTATTAGAGAAAGGGGAGGAGGGGAGGAAAGGGGAGGAAACACAGGATAGGAACCTTTAGGCAGACTACAACGATGATCTTATTGATGGAGGTGCATTCAGGTAAATTTGATTCATGTAAAAAAAATCGAGAATGAAATTTGAATTTTATTCCCCACACAATCATTGGCACTAAGGTTCATAGATTCTTCGCGCTGACCCTCGTCTTAAAACAGAGTCGGAAATGGCTTTGTTGGGAAGACAGAGTGGAATACAATTAACATCATGGGAAGGCCTCAGCACAATTTCCGACAGAGAGTCAAAAGTTATCTCAGCTGCCATGTGAAACGCTTGCGATTCTATCATGATTGTATTTAGTCTTGCATTAGTTGATGATTGTTGGAGAGGGTGGCGCGAGTTAAGACAAGTCACCAAGTAAGGTTAAGAAAAACCAGTGCCAGCTGAAGTAACTTTCGACTCTCTCTTCTTCACGTTAAAGTAACCAATTTTTGTAACGAAGTCTTTCAAACTGAATAAAGCGGCAAGTTTCTAAAGAAATTTTTATGCTGCGTCGGTGAGGGAGAGTAAATTAGCCACAGTAATGAGTTTAAAAGGTGATGTTTCGAGCGTTAGCCCTTCCTCAGAGCGATGACGATGACGTTCTTAGTCTGTCAAACTGTCTAACAATGATTGTGTTCCAGTTCATTTCAAAAGTATTCTTTTAATATTTGCTAAACAACATGATACAGTTATTTCACAACTTGTACGAAGGTCGATTTCTGTTTCTTCCGAATCTTCTTAACCTTTTCTGTCGCGTCGGCAAAAAACGTCTCTTCTCTGGCTTCCATTTCGTTTTGAATGAAACGCAGACCAGCCAAGTTAAAACCAATGGTGTCCTATAAGAAAACAATTAAAATAATGTTTGCCTTTAGAACCACGATGTAGGTCAGGTTAGTGCAAGCCGTTACAGCACCGTGATGGGCGTGAGAAAAAATTTTTGACCATGTGGCCTCTAGTGCTCGCAATCGGTATCTTACAATAAGCCTCGAGATTCAATGTTATGCAGCAAGGCTCCGGAATTGAAACAAAGGTCGTTTAGGTCAATGAGGTTCTTTATTTCAGGGCCCTGGGGGAAGGAAAAATCACAACCTATGTTTAATTTTATTCCAGATGAGTTGAGTTCTCGCTGTAAATTAGTATGGCAGTAATAACCTCAAATTGGTTTTAGCGACCTAATAGTAAATGATTACACATATACCCCGCAAAGCTCGCGAAATTTTACGAGTGACGACGATGACCCAGTTATTTCAAACTTAAGGTGGCGCAACATGGTTTTGTCACCATCTCTCAACATGTTGTGACCGACCATATTTCTGTCTAAAGGTTACTATTGCGTCATCCTCGATTATAGCTTTAAGTGGTGACCACTCAAATCCGAGCGCGCTGAGCCCCTTTATTCCTTACTGAATGCATTCTCGAAGACAACACTGTTTTTTTTTTGCATAGTTCTACGTTCTTCTGTACATACGGTTCAGAGCAACTTTATATTATAAAAAACGTTTGGGAGGCTCAGTATATTGAGATCAGAACAATAACCTCGCTTAACGTATGGAGAATTCAGGGTGCAGTCCCTATACGAACTTACCCTCAGACCATGAACTCGTGATTTAGCATGCTGCCGAAGGGAATCAATCACCGGCACAAGAACCTTGTTTGCTACGATCTGGCTATGGTGAATCCTGAGAAAGGAATAGTTCGTCAGTTATAACTTGAACATCATTGAAAATAAGAAAAGACAGTGAAACATTGGACAAAGCGCCACCCGGCGATTGCGGAATCTCCAAATCCAATTTACAGTACGATTAATGGGCTAACAACAACCTTTCGCCATGACTTAGATCCTGGCGCTTTGCTCTACGAGACAGAAAAAGCATTAACTTACCTCAAAAGAAATGAGAGGCATCTACAGGAAAGCTCGACCTCCCAGCC